GAACTACTACAAAACTACAATGACAACACGTTTTCTCATCGATCCTCGTTTCGTTTTCATTCTCGCCAACACGTGGGATTTTCGATCCCATAATAATAAGTAACCTGGGGCTGGGCCCAGTCCCTCACGTTCTACTTGTAACACCTGCATTACTGTACCCATATTCCCAATTAGCCAATCAGAAGCCTTGACTACTGTTCTGAAATCCTGCGATACCAACAAGTCACTGCCCTGATATGGCTATGGTATCATGCTCACTTGGTGGAATTTTGGTACAGTAAACATCTGATTGTACGTTTTTGGTTCACTTCGACGCCATATCAAGTTTGTTTGGTCTCACATGGGTATTTTAGCTCAACTACATTTTGCCAAGATACGAACCATGGTTCGATCAAAACTTGCCATAGAGTACCAAAAAGGTATAAATATCAAGTCACTCACCTGTAATTGCAATTACTTTTTAGATACACTCCAGCGGGGGTATCCATTTGTTTAGCCCCCAAGTCGATAAGCCCCTAACTGTTTAGTTCCCAACCAGAAGTTGATTAGTTCCCAACCAGCAGTTAAAAACACTGTCTATTTCTCATTCTTTATGTGTGAATGGTAAGGAAAGGTTAAGTCTGCATATGAGCCAAGTGCCTCATCAGGCCAGAGCTTATCCTGGTTTCAGTAGCATGAAGCACTAGTCTATCGTAGGGTTAACCCCCAGCATTAAATTCGCCAATACCCATTTATACACCTGGGTGGAGAGAGGCACTGTGAGAGTAAAGTGTCTTGCTCAAGAACACAACACAATTTCCCCAGCCAGGACTTGAACCCGGACTGCTCACTCTGGATTCAAGCNCCCATTTATACACCTGGGTGGAGAGAGGCACTGTGAGAGTAAAGTGTCTTGCTCAAGAACACAACACAATTTCCCCAGCCAGGACTTGAACCCGGACTGCTCACTCTGGATTCAAGCACACTAACCCTGAGGCCACTGCACCTCCCATGTGTGAGAATGGGGACTAATCAATTTCTGGTTGGGGGCTATTGACTCAGGCTAAACGACTTACATTGCTGGGGGTGTGTCGGGCTTGTCAAATGGTCGAATTACAACCACGTCAATCTATGGTAACCAAAAGTTAGAATGCTCTGATCCACACCCATTTATTTATCCAAGACATCGATTCACTTATTCCCTGTTGTAGCTGATGAGGACTGTCAGATGTGGAACAGAAACTTTATAGAAGTCATTGACACTGAAGAGAGAAACTCATATATCTTTAGCAAGGGATCAATGTACCCCTCTTACCAGTTGGAGCCATCTATATCCTATCGTAACAGTACCACAGGAGAGTGGCAGTTCTTTAATTTGTCTGGAAATGTGTTAGTGCTGCAAAATGATTCAGATCCTGGAAATTTACAAATTAAGGTAACTGTATGCTACTTTTCAAATTTCATTGAAGCAATTGCTATGGAGGACACATTTCTAATCGGCGAATTAAATTGTGACACATACTTGTAACAGTGGCAGATCTAGGGGAGGGGTCCAGTGGGTCCACCCCCCCCCCCCCCCCCCCCCC